GTAATTGCCAGAGGAGGCGATTGCGTCGACAAATCGTCTGCGGCTGTGTAAATATTCGCCCCGCAGTCTACTGTCAACAATTGGCCCGAACGGGAAAATGTTCTACAGAGGTGGCGAAAGTTGAATGTGCCGCCTTCTGTAGGCCGGAGTGCATGAGGTGTCAGGGCGAGCAGACGATACTCGGTTGCCGACCCGTCTTGAGCCAAAATGTAGCAAAGTTAATTGTACACACAAACAAGGTGAACATGAAGACAGCGAACACGACTCAAGAGAAGCTGGGTAAGCAGAAGACCGTATTCCAGCTGGCCAAGAACCAGTCGTACACGAGACCGGCGTCGGTCGTGAAGGCCGAGAGTCTCGAGATGTTTCGGGAGACCAAGCGCTTACTGCGCGCCTCAGATGGCACATGTCAGGTGAGCTTGACGTCGTACAGACTGAATATGACATGTGAGGCGGATAGCTGTCCGTCCAGACAGACCTTCGTCACCGACTGTCAGAATGGCAGTCGTGAGATCGTTGTGCTGGAGCATGTGGCCCAATCGTCTGTCTCTTGTGTACCGGTAGTGAAGCGCACCGTCAAAATGTGCAGGTCCTGCTGTCCAAGTATTAACCAAATGGTGACTATGTGCAACCAGGGCAAGCGCAGACTGATCAGAGTGTTCTGGGAGGAGGTGAACAAGTGTTGCGTCAAGCGTAAACTGGTTGATGTACTGCCCTGCAAGGAAAGTTGCCCCGCCGACTCCGTGGTACAGACGACCTGTTTATACGGTCAGCGCTTGAGGTACCGCATTTACTATGTCGGAGAAGCATGCAGCCAACTGGTCGCAGCAGAAGCGCTCCCTTGTGATCCTGCCAATTGAAGCCCTGACAGAAAGACTTAATTTTTTCTTATCTTTCAACTGACCAACCTTTGGCTCTCTGTTATTTATTTTCAGTGGTGAACAAATCCTGGCAATGGTTCGCCAGATTTCAAAAATAATTCTCAATAAATACTTCATATCGTAAAAATAATTGTTTGCATTTTTCGTTTATAAGAAGGCTTTCGAGACCACCAGTAGATCATATATTTATATATATGAGATGTATTTATTCTATTTCCTTTAGGGTATTTGAATTTTCCCACAATTATATGAGTAGACATGACGCTTACATTGAATTTCATACAGTCTTGTTTTATCTAAAATTAGTTTCCTCCAGGATGTACTGCAGTTTCAACTTCGCCTAGGTCATATCAACACCCTCAATGGGACTCGAACCATGAAACCGCAGCGTATGATCTCGAAATGTCAGACACTAGGCGACTGCCCTTGTGTCACAGGAAAGGTGTGG